CTTGTTAGCCTATAGCAGGGCTGTCAAATTTAAGGCTCTTGTTGAATTCAGGGGTGAGGTCCACCACCAAAATTCAGGTCATGGGACTCCCATTGGCATTCCAGGTCAGTAGCGAGGGGAGAGTGATGGCAACACTAGGCCCCATGTAGGGATGTAAATACCAATTTAAAAAATATTCGTTTAACCTGCTGTAATTACAACAGGTTAAACAATTAATCAGTTGGGCACAGGGATGGGGATGGGTGCAGCAGCGCTGAGCTCCAGTCCATAGATCTGTGAAGTGGAGGGTGGAGAGGGTGCTGAGCTCTGGGCCAGCAACTGCCCTGTCCTCCTACCCTGTCATGTTAGAGGGGCTGCACCCACCCACCCACCCCAAGCAGCATGGGGATCCGGGGGCCAAAGCAGCCCTGCCAGGCAGGCAGCACAGCTCAGGAACCCCAGTTGTGCAGCAGCCAGTGAGGGGCTGCAACCACCACCAAGCAGCTTCCTGGGGCCAGCTGCAGCAGCATGGGAAGGAGTGGAAACAGGAGACACAGGCAGGAACCAGCCAGGGGCTTTACCAGCCCACAGCAGCTGCCGGTGCGCTGAGAGGGAGGGAACGTGCAACCCCTCCCCTCCCTTTTCTCTCCCTTCCTTCACGCCTAGCCTAACTATTAGGTATTAGTCATCCCTCCTCTTCCTCCCTCCTGCCCCGCCACCTTCCAGTTCTTGCTGGGGCACCTCAAGGCTTCCCTCCTGCCCCCGCCCCCCCTTCCCTCCTGGATTGCACAGCCCCAGGCTAAACAATAAGGGGTAAGTTAGACCCTATCACTGAGCTGATCAGTTAAACAATTAATTGTTTAACTGTTCAGATCCCTAGCCCCATGGTTGCCGCCTTTCAAAGGACCCAGTCCTTGCCAGATCGAACAGGTTACAACACATGTAGAGTTGCTAGGCCCTCGGGTCTTTGGTGTTCGAGTTGTCAGAAACCCTTCAGACAGTTTTCAAAAGAAATGGCCTTCCTATTAAACCTGTCATGTCTCCCAAATGCTGGCTTTGATTTTTCCCTGTTAATGCTGGGGTTTCCACATGGGAGGAGCAGATTTACACTTTGGGATTCATTGGTGCTCCCTCTCCACAGGTGGATGGGATAGTTAGATTCATCTTAACTTCCTGCTGCCTTGGCCATCCTAGCTTTCAGGCAGCACCCAGTGCCACCCACTTCTGCAGAGGGAGGGTGGATCTTAACCAGAGTTCTTCTGGGTAGACTGTGCACTAGCAGGGACGCAGCATCCTGTTGGCAGAGGCTATATAACTCCAGAACGAACCTAATACCTTGTCCACTTCGCTGCAACTGTAAAAGAACCGTAGCATCACATGGTGTTTTGGGACAAGTTGTTTCCATTTGGTGAAGCTGGGCTTCTAATGAACATGAGGTTATATATGCCAGCTACCTCTAACACTAGGACTAATCACATTTGGGCCCTCATCTTGAAATATTTAAATATGCTTTGCTGTAAGCATGTTTTTAAATGTGTTTATGTAACTCAGTCAGTCCCCTTCTGTTCCTGACCTACAAACCATAGGAGTCCGGGACAGACCCAGCTAGCTTATGCTCACCTGTTGCAGTCTGTTAGCTCTGGAGGTCCCTGGCCCAAACCCCAGTGTGCAGCTCAGATACAAGGGCCTTATTTAATAGGTGGAATAAAATACATTTTAAATTTTGCTCCTTTACATTTTGTGCAAGTGACAGGCTGTGCTTATCTGAAACCCTTTTATCTGTTTAATGCACATGAAGATTTCTAACCCCTGTATGTACACCCCCTTTCATCTTGACTAGGCCATGAACCTTGGAAATGACTCTTAGACCGTTGCCACCTGAAACTGAAAGAACTGCATTCAGTCTGAATATACACAAGGTTTACTTCTGTATTATCCAGCCAAACTAGGTTGCCTCAGATCTGTGGTATTTCATGCATTAAAACAACACAAGTATGCTCAGATGATAAGAGTAACTGACAGACACCATCTGAGAGTTGCACAGGAAGTGTTTTTCATTCAGGCTCAGTGCCTTCAGTGCAGTAAACCACAAATAGCTGTATTTCAAGATGTGTCTACTGGTGTTTCTAATGGAGGAACACAGCAGACTTACTGATGAAATGGTGTTATCCCTTCTGCCAAAGTACGGTAGTTAGACATAATATGAAGGTTTGTCTGTAATAAGAGGAGAAAGAAGTGTCAGGCATTTGTTTAGTTCAATCCTATTAATTTACAATGAATAAACACAAAGACCTGTTTCCCAGATCGAAGTATACTAGTAGCCAATGGCATTGCTCTTTGCCCGTTTCCAGCGTCCTCTGCTGTTTGTTTTATGCCCCAAGAATCTCTGTTCTATTACTATACCTCACAAGTCTTTTCTCTTACGTTTCACAGACTTTTCTAGCGTTTTTTGCTTTTGTGCCCTGTCCCCTCTACAGACTTGCAATCATACAACATCCTAGGGCTTGTTTTTGCAGTCCCAGGAAATGTTTGTTGCATAATATATTGCATTTATTCTCAATCAGGGTGCTATAAGACCTTTTAAAGGATGCTGCTCAATAGTAGTACTGTTCATTGTGCAGACTCCTATACATATCACAAGATAAACCCAGAGATTTCCAATACAAAGTCATAGTGTGAACATTCTGGAACCTGTTGTGGGGTTTCTGAGTCACAGAAGACTTCGATTATATTTCTGTAGTCAAAAAATAATTGAAAGCTAAGAGCTGGCACTTCTGAGGGGTGTCTTGAGTCTAGCAAGGGGTGCCTCAAGTCTAAAAAGGTTGAGAACTAAAGACTAACTGTGCAGTTGGTCTAATAAAAGATATTGGATTTACCCAATGAACCTTGTCTGCCTATGGCCTTAGACCAACACAGCTACAACCTACACCTCTGCGAACCAGAGATGCATTGCATAGGTTCCAACCTGCTGTTCCCTTGATTTCCTACTGTTTTCCTCTATGAGTACATGAAATGTCTTAATTGGTCCTTCACTTTATAAAGATAAAACTAAAGGAGACCTTCTGGGCAGTGAGCCCTACTATATTCTAGGTACTTTAACAGCATCTGAGAAAAGGGTGGTTAGCATACCTATCAACTTTGAAAAAATCTGTTCTTGTCTGTAGGTCAGAGACCCCTTTGGTGAGATCCATTAATACTTCCCAGCACAACAAAAACTTTAGTAAATCAGATAATGAGCATTCATTTATGTAGGCAGATTATTGGTCTTAATACAAAGAACACGTGATTGCAATTGCATAGAATTGGTTAACATAAAGATTGTGATTAGCAGAGACAAAAAAATCTGAACTAACTGCTAAGAAATTAAACCTGTTCTTGGACTACCAGGGAAAACAGAGTTCTCTGCAAAGTTTCTTCCAGACAAATATCCCATTGAAATAGGTTAGGAGGTTTTGCAAGATTGGATCCTTCTCGGGAAACATTTTAACTCAATTTCCATTCTGCTGTAAATACAGGCAGTCTGTAGAATTGCAGCCTTATTGTAAAACAACATATTAAATGTCCCATCTACTGTATTTCTCTTATTGTAATATCAGTGTCTTGAAGTGGGAACTAGTTAACACGTACATGTAATCTGCAAACCTCATAATTCTGAGATCTTCACTAGGAAGTAAGACTCCTAAAATGAGGTTTCATAATTGCTAAGACTTGTAAGATCTTATGAGGATCTCTGTCTGATGGGGGGGAAGCATTTGCTTTCTTGCTAGGTTACCAAGTTCTGTAAACACGGTCTCCTAGCTAGCTGTGTGAGTTCTTTAGTTACATTAGTTACATTATGTGCATTCATACTGCTTATATATGGACTACCTCCTGGCACAGGCTCACCTGCCTCTGCTACAAAAACACTAGGAAAGAAAAGACATGCAAGTTTTATGTCTCTTCATTCTTCCCTCTCTGCTGTAGCTGACCTAGAAGTTTCATTGATGCTACTTAAGGAGGGTATCTGGCCTTGTACCTTGCACTTCTGTACATACAATTTAAGAGAAAATGTTTTTTTTTACCTGGACATTTGGGGAGGTGATTTCTTGAAGCTTAACATTCTGTTCAATAATATTTTGTCTTTTATTGGTATGTCTGCTGGTAGGTACGTCATTTTTAGAGTGCTGAGAGCAGGCGATTTTATTCTAGTCTGTTCAGGTTCTTATACCTTTGCTCCCCAATATAGAATTTTAATTTTTGTAAGGTGTTTGGAGCATGAAATACATGCTTTATTGATGTTTATTTAAAAAAGCAGGTAAAACCTCTTACTTCTCTCTTTTTTTTTTTAAGACCCAGGTGTAACTACAACCTCGCAAAAACCTTCAGAACATTCTAATCAAAGTAAGTGTTAATTTTTTGTTCCACAGAGAAGCAGTATACAGTATATTTTTCCATATTCCTAATTTGAAAGCAGACAATGAAAACATAATTTATACTAAATGCCCTGGTTATGTAGCATAACTCAGCTTAAGTCCTTACTGCTTTCATATTCTCTAGAGCAGCAGGATGGAACTGTGGTAAATGCAGCAGAAATACATGGGAGGAGGAATAAAGTATGAAAATTTACTGTTCAGAGCATGCATACACACACATACGCACATTTAATTGAAAAGAGGCAAAAAAGGTAAAGCTACTATGTATGCAGCTCCATTAATGTCAGCTGTATGGAAAAAGCCTTTATCCAGGAAGTGGAAGCATTAGTTCCCAATTTAGATTTGATTCTTAAATTAAAAATAAAATAGAAAAGTGGCTAGGTTCCAGGCTGAACGCAGCCATATCTGGAGGATTCCCTACAAAAAGTATATGAAAAAAGTACAGCCCTGAGCAAAAGGTGTTTCATATGCTATCTCATCCTAGGGGATGTACGAACTCAGAGATGTATCCTGAAGTGACACACTCCCATCCCTGCTTCTTCATTAGCTATCATTGTCCAACCTGCAGGCCAGCAGCAAATGTAGCCACTCATTCACTCACTCCTCTATCTTCCACCAGCTACTATGGTTACTTCTGCATACCTTGACTCAAGTTCCATGCAGGCTGTGTACTATGGTGGGTTTTTTTTTCCTGCTATGCTGAATGGGTATCTAATCCAAGACCAAATATAGGGCCCAGGTTGCACAGTTAAGTACTCAGAATATAGGAAATTCTAGTGTTAAGGTGATCTCTCACCCATGACTGGCCCCAATACAGTTGCACTACTCTGTGGGGCCTCTATAAGAAAGGCACACTAACAAGAATCCATGAAAATTGTTTTTACCCCAAGTCAGAATTACACTACAATATGCGTCTATGTGCATGCATGTAGCTTGTCTCACCTCTTTTAAAATGTTAACTCAGTAATTGCCTATTTGTAGTTGAGCGGTGATTCCTGGTGTAAAGGACGTCAGACCCTTTTATGGGGATATGCTTACTTCTTAGTCATGGCTTCAATGAAGCTGCTCCTGCTACCTCCAGCTGTCTCTGAGGTAACACTCATACCATAGTTTCCCTTCAATCACTATGGAAAGATGTGGAGTTGGAGAGCAATGGCTGTGAAGTACTTGGCAGCATTAACTTCCGAGAGATGGATAAGACACGGAACATGGGGAAGAAACAGCCTGAAACACTGAACCGACAGAACATCACCAGCACACACGTGCAGGGGGGAACAAGATAAGAACTGCTGATGGAAACCTGAAAGTTAGGGCTGAATGGACAATGGGAAACAGGATTGGGAAAGCAGAAGTAGTAAAAGGATGAGAGATGAAAGAAAGAGAATATTGAGAGAAAAAAAAGAGAATGGGGGGAGAGGAAGAAGAGAGAAACTGAAAGAATGAGACAAAGGAAGGAAGGAGAAAATGGCCAACGCCTATTCTCATTGCATGTATTGATCTACTGTAAAATCCTTTTAATGTAGATGCAGCTTATGCAGTACAAGCAAAACCGTGCATCTCCCAGGATTAGAGTATCATTAAAAAAAGCATCCATAAATAACATTACTGTAGTGGCAAAAGCCATTAATGTAGACCTGGTCTGTAACAACAACAACAAAAAAAACACAGGAGGAGAGGGGAGAATGAACAGGAAAGGAACAGGGAGAGAAAATGGAAAAGTGAAGGCAAAGCCTTCTGGGCTTTGCCTTCACTTTTCCATTCTTATTTTTGCAAACATGATTTAAAAAAAAATACAAAACCAAGACAAAACCAGCAAAAGAGTCACCAGTGCATCAGCTATGACACAACATGAAAGGATGAGGGGAAGTCAGGGGATGTGACTGTTAAGGTCTCCAACCCAGGAAGTTTGGGGATCACTGCCACTGGGAATCCAAGTGTGGCACTGATCCTGTTGCAGTAGAAATCAGTGGCAAAATTACCACCAACTGCAGGGGGAAAGGGGGCTTTTTACTCTGATTGTAGCTGTGACTGGCAGTTATATGGATGTTTTGAGGAAAGGCTTGTTTAGTCTCAAGCCAAAGTGGCAGGTTTTAAACACAGATAGGTCAATTTTTCATCATTTTTTGTTTTTTGTTTTGCTTTTTTAATAAGATAAGGGAGGAGCCAGTCCAAGCAATGTACCCCATTCAGTTACATCTCCATCAGCCACAACCCCCCATTCTTCGACAACAGGTGAGTGTCTGATAACTCATTAGTTCCTGCAACTCTGTACACAAGCACAAAAATTGTCAAACAGAAAAGTCAAACAAATCTCCAGAAAAAGAGGTAAAAGAAGTATGTGTGAAAGGAGCGTTAACATCTTCTAACATGGGAAGACAACATTAAAAGACCTTCCAAGTAAGATTATACTGTTGCTAAAATTAAAAATGATGCTGTACCCTGTATCTTCCTAGCCAGAAGATCTGACTTCCCCAATGCTATACTAAGAGATATCAGAAAAGCAAACCCTAAAGCACCTTAAGTTACTCCTGAGTCTTTTTTGCACATTAGCAAAAGTCACTCCATTGTGGTTGAATGAAACTGTATAGCAGTGGATGTTTGATTCTTAATACTCACCATAGCCTTGGGAATGTGAATCAGTGTCACAGGAAATGGATAATGCTGGATGGATAGTGCTCCATGATAGATTTTGCCATTGTAATGTGGTCAGTGTCCACATACCCTGTATCAGAAGATGGTACAGTCCTATAAAAGGGACCTGTTTTCATGCACTGTTGTTAACTTCTTTCTCCCAGACCTTGGAGGCAAATAAATCTTTATAAGCTATTCAGACTGTGGGGTACTATGATCAAAGGAGTAGGAAAATTCTTTGTGATGTAAATAGGAAGAAAAGTCAATGTATGTAATTAACAGGTTCAGGTTCCAGGGGTGGCCATGACGCCCCCTGGTGGCCACACAATCCCTGCCCTGGCTCTAGCCCATCACACCTTTGATATTATTATTTTATTTGGATGGAGGCTGCTTAAGGGTCCTAGAGCTAGCCTGCAATCATTTCCATGTCAGGGCCTTGGCCTTCTTGGGCTCTGCCCCATTTTGTCTTGCTGAGCCCTCTAGCTTCAATCCACTGGGTCCCCAGCTTCTTATCTGGCCCTCCGAGGCCTCTGTCTCTGCCTCTACTCGGGCTACTAGGCCTCTGGCCCCAGTCTCTGCCCTGCTCTGGGTACTGGGCCCTCTAGCCCCCAGTCTGTGCTTTGGCATGAATGGGATCGCCCTCGTGGCCTCTTTGGGATTGCCCCTCTGGGCATGCTCTGTGCACCCCTCCCAAGCGCTATGGGACCATGCAGTCCTACCCAAACCACCAGACCTTCCTTTGAGTATCTAGTCCCTTTTGAGCCTGTCCCAGCTGACCACAGGCTGTCTTCCTCTCGCCTTCTCCTAGACTGATGACCTGGACGTGGTCACTTGCTGCTTCTTTTGACTGTCAGCCTCTGCAGCTTTCCTTTTCATGTGCGCCTTTGACTCCAGGTGCCCATTGATGCTGTGACTCCTAGTCACATCCAGGCTTAGGTTGCAGGTTGCATTCATGCCTGCTCTTTGTCAGGCACAAGCAAGCAGGCATGCTGCAGCAGTGTCCCTGCAAGCATTTTTAAAGCCCTCGGGGCTTCGCAGACTGACCCCTGACTAGCTTCTGGACTGAGAGAACATCAGGGGCTCAGCCTCTCTGACTTGCTGCTCTGGCTGTCATCCTGCCCCTGCCCCCCTTTCAAGAGAAGGGGACTTCAGGAGGGCTTTTCCTTGCTCCCCGCTTCCCCTTCTAGAGACAGAGATAGATGGGAACTTTTCTCACCTCTTTCTTTTCCCCAGCTTCAGGAGGCAGGCAGTCTGCCTTTTTTTTTTTCTCCTTGCTCCCTTCCCCCCTCTCCCAACCTTCTAGGAAACAGCTTTTTGCCAGCTCTTTGCCAGCTTTTTTAACATAGCTGGTTCCCCACACTCTTTCACAGGGAACCAGCTATTTCACAAGAGACTGCCAATTACACGATCTACTAAATACACAGTTTCATGGAAGTCCCTAGTTACAGCATAAAGAAAGGACAAAATGTCTTTAAGTGTATGTATCTTTCTTATGCACCCTACATATTTGATTGACAGAATCCATTCTAGGTATTTAATCTTTAAGTGTTAACAATATAACATTCTCATAAACAGCAGAAGAATTAGGATTTATCTTATAAAAAGAGAATAGAAGTGCATGATTCTTAGCTCCATTATTAGTAATTATCTATTTCATGTAAAAAGATAAAATAATACAGTCTAGGTTTGGCCATGCATATTGGAGCACAATAGAGAAAAATAATAAGCATAGCAGAAAGTTAAAAGAGTAGATGCTTTTCTTCTGATCTTTCAACTTAAATTTGTTAGTAAAATATTAAGGATAAGATTATTCAAAGTCATAAAATATTATATGCTGGACTCCCATCAAATAAATCCCAGTGGCACAAGACAGCCCCGTACTGGAATACATAGGTGCTGCACTAAGGGTGCAAGTGCATGGCTCAGTTACTCTGACTTATATTGACATTCCTCCAGACTAACAATAGAGGAGACAGACAAGATGTAGTCTTATAATGGTCTAAATTACTCAGTATTTGGGTATAGTTAAACCTTCAGAAAATGAATAACAGTATGCTGGTGTATTGGTTTTGTACATCTACTCTAGTTAGTTTCAACCTTGGGTAACTGTTTGCTCAGTGCAGGCCAGCTCCCCTGTCACCTAGTAGCTTGTCATGTGAGCCAGACATGTGCTCCTTAATACAGAGCAAACTTACTGTGGAGTAAAATCCAAGGTAAATTACTCCATAGTAATGTTATATGTCCCTGCTCTGAGGCACACTGTGCACACTAGCTCTGAACTGGAAGAAATGTAGCCACACAAATGTTGATACTGCACAGTTGCTATACTAGATTTTACCTCTCCGCCGCTGACGGATATTCGTTTAAAGGTATGGTGGGATCTGTTCCCTGATCTCAGCAGTCACGCCTCCTACCATGCCACACCTGCATGACAGAATGCACAATTTTGGGATTGGGAATCAATCACATCATACTTGCCAGTGCAGGGGGAGCCTGGGCTGATGCATGACACCCCTTGCACCATTAAGTTGACACCATCAAGTCAGCTGATTGTCAGCTGGTTCTGGGACCACACGGGGGCTTGAACCAGCCTCAGTACAGTCCCCCAAGACAGATGACAATCAGTTGATCCTCAGCTGAATCGGGACCACACTGAGGTTCCAACCACTCATGGAGTAATCCCAATAACTGGCCAACAATCATGAACTGGATCAGAAGTGCATCAGGACTCCAGCTGACCACAGTGTGATCTCCGGAACCAGCCAACCAGCCATGGATAGTCAGCCAGCTCTAGGGACCACACCACAGCTGGTAGGATCCTTGGTGCAGTCCTGATCCAGCAGATGATCATCTGAATGTCAGCAGTCAGGTACTGCACTGGAGCCGATTCAAGCCCTGGTGTAGTCCTGGATCCAGTCAACTATCAGCTGACTGTCAGGCACCCAACTTCAACTTGATGGTGCAGAGGGAGTCCAGGACCAAGATCCCAGGCTCTCTCTGCTTTGGCAAGTAGGGCACAATTTTCAGCTGACGGGGACTGCCCTAGGGCTGATTGGAGACTCCAGTGTCATCCTAACTGTGCCACATGCTCAATTTAAAGTATGATGGAAACCGGCCACAAAAATATTGCACATTTTTGTGTAAGAATGTTGTGGCTGGTTTCCCTTTCTGTGGCACCATTTAAGTGCCTGAATGTGTTGCTAGATTACTATTTAAAATACGATTAAGTGACTGATCACATCTTAAGTGTAACATCTGCCAAGGGCCTCAGTGCCTTCTCTGTGGCATTTCTCAATGCAGTGCTGCCCAGCAAAACATAGACATACCAGTTGATTTCTTCCCTTTTGAGCCTTTGAAAACCACTCCCTAAAGCTTTGAAATTATTGAAACTAAATAAACAGCAAAAGGCTTGGTTATGAAAAATACACTATAGAAAAGGCTCATTGTGGTAGGAAGCACCTTAGTCTTGATGGTGGTGTAAGTTAAAAAGCCATAAATCAGAGTGCAAACAATGTGGAAATCTACCAAAACCCTTCTGGGTAAGAGTGCAGATGTTTTTGTGCTGACTCATGGTTTGTATGTTGTTGTTCAGCATGTCCAATTCTGGCATGAGAACCAGATTTGTGCGATCGCATACAATTATATTATATTTTCATCCACATTAGTCAGTTTAATGTGTTTGTAAATTATGGAGTTTTTTAAATCTTATGATTTGAAACACTTGTGCACTATAATTCTAGTAGGAGGGCATTAAGCAATGTTGTAGATCTCTGAGTCTGCAGATCTAAAAGAAATTACAAGCTTCATAACTGGAAGATACTTAATAATTGGAAGCTTTGCCCACTGTCAACCCCAGAATTCAGTGAAGATGATGTCAACTGACCTTAAAGTGACTGTGTGGCTCCTTAGGAAAGACATTTTACAGATTCAGCCAGCTCTTTACTCTGGGATTTGGAGTTCAAGAGTCCAGGCTTGAACAAGTGCAAATATTGGATACCTAAGTAGAGTTTACATATGTGGGGGTGGTATGTTCTGGGGAAACTGGGCAAAGATTTGTACTGTAAGTCTAAGAAAATTAGCAAGTATGTGCTATATTCTGATAGAAGTACGTCCACTAACTTTGTTGAGCTTTGGAGTGGAACATTAGGGCACAAAGAACTCCAGTGTCTGTTACTGGGATTTGAAAAAGACATGAAATGTGGATTATATCCTGGTGTTTCATCATTGATTAATTTATCTGGCAGAAGGAACTGCAGCCAGGCACTCTGCCATCTGCAAGTCAAAACAAAATGGAAGAAACAGATAGTTAACGCTCTTTCAGTACACGTTAGTGCCAAAAAAGTTGACTCGTATATTTAAGCATTCCTATATTTGGACTTACTTATTTAATTTTTTCTTCTGTTTCAGCAAAAAATGTTATTCGGACAACCTCATTGGGTAAGTGTAACATTTTAAATCCTAGAAATCCTTTCTAGTTACACTTTTAGCTTTTTAAACTAGTCAGGCTTTTTATACATTATTAATTTTGCTTTTTTTTTTTAAAAAAGTATAATGTTGATCTGGTCAGCATTTGTGTGTTGTGCTTTTAATTTCACAGAACTAATACTAAGAATTCTTGTCCCTTTTTCTTTATATTCTATATGATTGATTTTATTACTTACTGTTTTGGTTTAATGTGTAAAATATGATTTATTCCATTTCATGACTGTGTTCATTGTCCTAGGTGAAAGATGATACAGTATTGTTAAAACAGCTGCAAGTTGATCCCCTGTAGTCTAAATTGAGTTCTAGGTTGTCTGCCTCCCTCCGTCAGTTGCTTACAGTTTTCTCCAACTATTTCCTGAGATGGGCTTTTGAATTAAACCAGCTAAGTTGTTTTTGAGTTGTTCATGGGGGAAAAAACAATCTACTCTTCCTTGTACGTGCTGCTGAAACATTTTGTATAGAAATGGTTCAAATGCCTCCAACTACAGACTTCAGACTCCAGTTGCTTTTACCTCTGTATGTCACTGAATAAAGAATAAACCAAGTTTCCAGGGAATGGCTGAATAGTTTTAAGTTGTGTGTTTTCAAGTCAGAGGTGTCATGCACTCAGACATCTATCTGGGATTGTTTAGGTATGGTAAGTCCTGCGTCTCTGCAGGGCGCTGGACTAGATGACCTTTGAGGTCCCTTCCAACCCAATGATTTTATGATTTGACAATAGAATTTAGCTGTATGTGGTGGTGGTTGCTGGTGGTTAAGCTGTGTATGGAATTCCAGCTTTTATGATATATTGTATTAGCAAAATGCCCGTCATGAATGACGGGGGTGGGGAGGGGGCGAAGCGGGGATGGAGACCCGTGTCCGGCCCTGCGCACTCCCCCCGCTGCTGTGGGTCTAGCCCCACTCCACGCAGGGGTTAGGGGTTGGTGCATGGCTGCAGGGCATGGCATGGGGAGCGGCTATGGCACGGGGAGTGCTCGCTGGCTGTGTGGTGTGAGAAGCGGCCCCAAGGTGTGGCGCAGGCCCCACACGCCCCATGGCTGCAGCGGGGGGTGCTGAGCACAGACGGACAGGGTGGGGCGTGGTGCGGTGGGGGGGCATGTGGCACCCTGCCACAGGGTGCCGCATGAGAAGTGGGCGCAGGGGGTGCACCCCGCATCGCGGCCATGTGCTGGTGGGTTCTGCCCACGCACCCCACATCCGTTCTCTGCACGACACCCAGCAGCTGTGCGCCAGCCCCCCTATCCCGTGCCACATGCCATGCCCCCACTCAACCACGCACCATGCCCCCCACAGGGCCGCAAACTATGCCCCCCTCACTGCGCCTTCCCTCTCCCCCGTGCAACAGAGCACACCCTGGCCTCCACCGCCTCAGCCTCCTCCTGTGTGTCTATCTGTGAGTAAGGCTCTGGGCAGCACATGCACAGTTGGCCCAGAGCGTTACAGACAGACAGACACACAGCTGGAAGTGGTATGGCTTTTATTATACTAGAATTGTTTAACAGATATCATGTAACAATGTAAAGAGAGAGGCCCTATTTTTAGGCACAGGCATAAGGAAAGAGAATAAAAGTTTAGGATTACTCCCTTTTAAGGAATTTGGAGTAAAAGTTTATGATTACAACCCTAACAGTTCATTTCCAGATGTTTGAATATTGGGTTTATCGGTCCTAATGTTGCATCACTTACACTGGATGTTTGCATAAACTATGGAAATGTTTCCAATTTTTATTAGTGAAAATTTGTCATAGTTCATTTCTCTTATTTTTATTATAAAGCATTGTTATGTTTGCTCTGAAACTGAAATGCACTGATATAAAAAATCCTTCTTTAATATTATTGAACTTTTTCTCCCAAAGGATTTAAAAAGCTTTTCAAATGCAGGAATCCTTTCACTCACCACTGGAATTCAGAGACTCCTGCATGAGGCATGGCCTGTGCTCACTGTTTTTTAACAACACAAAGTAATGGAGTGACAAATATCAGTCAGAAGACTATTGCCCCCTTTCAGTCTGTAATGACCCCAGCTGGAAAGGACCTCCATTTCCAATCTCATCTAAAAGTGACAGCTTGTGTCACACCTCATCATCTTTGCTTAGGGGCTTCATTCATAGGGGGGTGTTTTCTCACTGAATTTGCTTATTACTCTTGTGTGTAAGTAGGGCTGAAATAACTATTAATCCCTGCCTCAGGTCCCAGTCCTCTGCAACATCTGTACAGTCTTTAAGCCAACAGGGTAAGGTGCCATATAAGTGATTTGATGGAGGTGTTTTCACAGGTGTAGCTGCTCGCTGCTGATAATAGGTTTTCCATTGCTATATTGTATCTTAAATAAGAAGTCTACATTAAAAGCATGGCTCGGTCACAGACTGCCTATGTGGCCTGGGTTTGTGACTCTTTTTCCCATCTGTAAAACAGAGACTGTAACTTCTCCAACTTCCAGGGCTGCTGTGAGGATAGGTTCATAGTCCTGTGATGATGGAGAGCATGTAAGCGCTTAGAGACGGTGCTGCTTAGCAGACGAGAGCACTGCACAGGGATTTAGGCAGAACCAGGTACGGAACCTAGGTCTTCACTGGCCTGTTGGGTAACTGTAGACGAGCTCTGTCACTTCTCTCTGCCTTGGTTTTACTGTTTTATAAATGGGGATACTAAACTGACTGTCTTAGACTTCATAGATTTCATAGACATCAGGGCTGGAAGGGACCTCGGAAGATCATCGAGTCCAGCCCCCCGCCCAAAGGGCAGAAAGTCAGCTGGGGTCATAGGATCCCAGCAAGATAAGCATCCAGTTTCATCTTGAAGGTGTTCAATAAAGGCGCTTGAACCACCTCCGGTGGCAGGCTGTTCCAGACCTTGGGGGCTCGGACAGTAAAGAAATTCTTCCTTATGTCCAGCCTGAAACGGTTTTGTCGTAGTTTATGACCATTCGACCTAGTCGTCATCCCTTGGGGTGCTCTGGTGAACAAACGTTCCCCCAGTTACTGGTGGTCACCCCTGATAAACTTGTAGGTGGCCATCAGATCACCCCTGAGCCTGCGCTTTTTCAGGCTAAAGAGCCCCAGGGCTCTCAGCCTGTCATCGTAGGGTCTGCTTCCCTGACCTCTGATCATGCGCGTGGCTCTTCTCTGCACTCTCTCAAGCTTCTCCACATCCTTTTTGAATTGTGGAGCCCAAAACTGGACACAGTACTCCAGCTCCGGCCTCACTAAGGCCGAGTACAGGGGGAGAATGACGTCCCGGGATTTGCTTGAGAAGCATCTATGGATGCAAGCCAGCGTTTTGGTCGCTTTACTAGCCGCCGCATCGCATTGCAGGCTCATGTTCATCTTGTGGTCAATGATGACCCCCAAGTCTCTTTCTTCCATAGTGCTAGCCAACATAGCACTGCCGAGCCTATAAGGATGCTGCGGGTTTTTTTTCCCAAGGTGGAGAACCTTGCATTTATCGGCGTTGAACACCATCAGATTCTCGTCCGCCCACTTGCTGAGCCTGTCCAGGTCAGCCTGGATAACCTGCCTGTCTTCTGGTGTGGATGCTTTGCCCCAGAGGTTGGTGTCATCGGCGAACTTGGCCAGTTCTGATCGCTTCTGACTCCAGTGTCCACATCATTAATGAAGATGTTGAACAGTATGGGTCCAAGGACAGAGCCTTGGGGGACCCCACTGGTCACAGGACACCACGATGAGTGACTTCCATCGATTACTACCCTCTGGGTCCGACCCCGGAGCCAATTTTCCAGCCAGTGGATCGTGGAGGACCTAAGGCGACAATTGGCCAGTTTCTCCAAGAGGCGATCATGGGACACCAGATCGAAGGCTTTTTTGAAGTCAAGATATATGACATCAATCTCTTCTCCCTTGTCCAGGTGATAGGTCACCTGGTCATAGAAGGAAATGAGATTGGTCAAGCAAGACCTACCCGTAACAAACCCGTGCTGGCTATCCCTTAAGATGTTGGCGTCGGCCAGTCCATTAAGGATGGCCTCTTTAATAAACTTTTCTAAGATCTTCCCCGGGATAGAAGTCAGGCTGATGGGCCTATAGTTAGCCGGATCCACTTTCCTCCCTTTCTTGAAGATAGGCACCACCTTGGCCTTCTTCCAGTCTTCGGGCACTACACCAGAGCGCCAAGCGTTTTCAAAGATCCGTGCTAGAGGCTGGGCTATGATGCTCGCCAGCTCCTTTGTAAAGCGCTTTGAGATCTACTGAAGAGAAGCACAGACAAGCAGTGGGGATTGCTTATGTAGATGGCTAATGCACAGGTGGAAATAACCAGACTCGAGAGCCCAGGATTACAATGTGGGGAGGTGAGACTACACACCCAATACATGGGTTACTATGCAAATTGTTTCTCCTGGATTGCATAGGTAAAATGGCCAGCCTGGAGTAGTGATTTGCTCAAGTGTATTTAAGGATTTCGCTTTGAAGAAAATGCCTGGCTCAGTGTTAGTTTAGGATGAACACTGCACCCAGTCATATGGCTGGGAGAACATAGGTCATGGCGCGTGCAGGGAAGATTGTTCTTGCCAGCCCACCCGTCACACGCATGAGTGTTACTCCAGCTCATTTCACACCACAAGATTATCAGCCACAAAGTACCATGCTCAGTAGCCCATCCGTTTTTTCCCCCCATGCGCACGCTTACAGTTTGAACCTTAAGTGAACAACTTCTAACAATAAGGGCTGTTTTGTTGTTTAGAGATGATTATGCCATTTGGAGGCTTTGCAATCAGTATTAAAATGTGTTCTATATTTTACTTAATGTATTTTACACATGCTTCATAAAGGAGCTGAGTTTCCTAATTGTCACAAGGTAAGCACATGAATGGACTAGCCCTAGATTTCCCGTCTTTAATGAATGTTGCCTTTGAACAGTATTTCGTGGATATTATGTGCTATGCCACAATATTAAAGAAATAATCAATGAAAATTCTTATTGAGGAGGTGGTGGAGTGTTCCATGCACAATATTTTCTAATACTTTAATCAGTGTAGTTTTAAATATCTCAGAGTGTGATTTCTACTACTTTTCTTTTGAACAGTTAAATAATCCAGCAGTTCTGTACTTCCGTCTTTCAGTTGTCTTTCCTTTTTTAAACTTTATTTGAAGCTGTGCTACTCAGTCTTCGGAAGACTTGAATCCCAAGATCAATATGTCTTCATTTTTAAATTTATCCATAAGAAGAACATTTCATAGAAGGCTTTAAGAAGCTATACAAGAGTGTCAGTTTAAATAGATAACTAAAGACCAATTACTTTTTCTTCATTCCATTTATTTATAATCTATTTCAAGAATGCGTTAGTATTACTGTAAATTATAAATGATCTAAAATAAAACTTCGCGTGGTAAAAAAGAAGAATTCCATTACATCTGGGTGACCTTTAGACATAAATGGTTATATAAATAATGCAAAGATAACAGGTTATACTTAGAGCTCTTCTTCTCAAATTCCTATATACATAATAGGAATATAGAAGGGAAAATATTTTTAATTTTGTTTGCATTAGTTTGGTTCTTTCTTAGGAAAAGAATGATCTTTTCTCAGGATTGTCTTGGGTTTAATCTTACTGTAATCATCTACTTCAGGATAAAGTATTTCATTAAAAAAGATATTTAGCATGTTAATTTTCTCTATTCCTTCCTGTATCAATTTCCTCATATCTGTTATCTCCTTGTGGTAGGATTTTATTCTAAACCTTTCATTGTCTCTTTTTCAGGGATGGAATCTATTTGGTAACAGTACAACTAGAGTCAAATAGAGCTTAAATGCTGGCCAGAACTTGTGAAACTGCATTCCATTCTTTGTTATAATCTTGGCTAGATTGTCCCCTACTGAGGAATATATAAATTGCTTTCACACAGGGTGCACTTTTAACTTTAACTTTTACCCTCCTGGGGAAGGCAAGATGAATTCAAGTGTCTGTAATATGTATCCAACAGGATTTTTCTTTTGTTCTGCATTTTCAGTAGTGGATGTAAAGAATCAGCATTGCTGTGATTTTGATATGTTAGTTTCAGTAATGCCAGCTCTCACGAAACAGTTGCAAGACTCCTGATTTCCAAATCAAATCAACCCTAACACACGATCTCAGGATACAACCCTCAAATCTTGGGATTTTCCTTCTGGTGGGTGTAGAGAGCACCCAGCTGGTAAGTCTATGGAAGGGTAGGGACTGGGGGGAAAGGCAAGGGGCAGGGTGGGGAGATCAAGGCCCTCACAGTGAGGATGGGAGTGGGGCAGAGGCTGGGGTGAATGGGACTCTGGGGCTTGGGGTGGGTTATGTGGCGGGCAGCTCGTCCGGAGTGTGGCGGGAGGCACAGCTCCTTGCAGCTGCGCGCACCCCTGGGAGAGGCGTAGGGGGCATGTGTGTCCCATGGGACAGAGGCGGGCTGCCTGCCACAGGCTGGGGCTCTGTGCCCTGTTGCCTTTGCTCCAGGAGCTCAGCCACATGACGTCATTGCCACCCACCATGCAGGCAGGGGACACGGAGCACGCTGGCCTCATGGCACATCCCATGCCCACCTGGCGCAGGAAGCACACTGGCATTGCACAGCTGAGCTCCCAGGGCAAAGGCAGCAGGGCGCAGAGCCTGCAGGGTGCACGTGTCCCCCATGCCTCCCTTGGGGGTGCGCGCAGCTCTGGGGAGCCACACCCCCCGCCCCCCAACCCTGCACCTCCGGACAACCTGCCCCAGCTCTGGAGTCCCATTCACCCCAGCCTCTGCTCCTGCCCCACTCCTTTGCTCACTGTGGGGACTCGATCCTCCCTACCCCCCGCCTGTCTCCTCTCCCCCCTGACCCTTTCCCTCCATTTACCAGCTGGGTGCTGTCTCTGTGTCTGTCTCTGTGTCTCTCTATGTGTCTGCTCCTTGCTCCCAAGCCACAGCCCCCCACAGCTCTGCCGCTGCCTCTCATTCCTGACCCACACCCAGGGTGTGCGGGGGTGTGTGCGGGGACCCTACCTCTCTGGCCTCCAGACCCCCCACACACACCCACAGGGCCCCCACACCTTCACAATAACACCCACACACACACACTTAAAAAATAGCATCTCATGATTTACATGCCGATCTCTTGATTTTTAAATCCTTTGTCTCATGCTTTTTGGCATGGTGGGGTTGACAATACTGTGGTTTTGCAAAAACGCATGTAGAGTCCGTGACCCAAAGAGGTGCACCTTATAGATTAACTGAATCAGAGATATGTAATCATCTAATGAAGCCCACTTCACAGTTGCTCATGAAAGCTTATGCATCTCTGATTCAGTTAGTCTGTAAAGTGTACTCTGCCTTCTGCCTGACTTCAGATTAACACAGCTAACTACCTGTCTCAGTTAAATATGTGCTTAAGTGTTCTCCTGAATAGTCTCATTTTCCTAAAGAGGGTTCGTAATTAGCATTCATTGCTACTGATCTTATTTTTTGCTTTTCTTGAACATTTCTTATTGTGCTAAAATTTGTGAACTTTGAACTTTGTGAACATTACTTAAATGTACATTTTCCAGTTATACCTAATATACTGTTCCCACTCCAGTGAGTATTGGGACTTAGAAATCTGTTTACTGAAACAGATATAACCCATGTGCAACATAAGTAGTCACTATCATCTTGCAGAGAAATTTATGAATTTAAGAATAATCACTAAAGTTTGTTGGGGTTTTGTGATAGATTTTACAGGGAGTATATTTCAGTCTTTTATGTAAAATATACTCAGTTCATTCCTCATGATCTAGATTATCGCATGTAAATCTGTGTAAATCCATAATAATTCTGTTTTCAGTAGACTTGTTTAAGAAGTTGAAAGTTATGAAACCAAGGAGATTGTTCTCCTCACATTTACTTTGGTTTCTCCGTGGGGGAGGGGTTCTGTCTCAAAACTCAGTATTTCTCTTTCTTGCATAAGGGACCTGAGCAGAACTGAATTACAAGCATGGGGGAAATTCAGATGTTACAAGGGTTCAAGAGACCCAAATGAAATTAAGAGTTCTCACTAAAAATCAGCTGAAATTAAATTCCCCTCTGTTCCCACCACCCCAAATGACTACTAGGATAGTTATGCTCTAGCTGTGAACTCCAATTAAGGTGATAGGAGGCAGAATCCTAAAACTCCCCTAAATGCAGACATTGGCCAAATCCAGGATAGAACAAATTACAAAGCAGAGGCTATACATCAAAAATACCTTGTCACCTACTCCTAGATTTCAGCATTGGAGCCTAGCAGTGACACCTTTCCACGGAAGATGCATGTGGAAGGAGTTGGGCTCTAAAATTGGATAACCAGATACTAATAGGCTTAGTGCCTGCAGTAGCAGAAAAACACTCCGTGACAAATGGTTCTCCATCTTATTTCTGGAGGAATAATTTACAATAAGCCTTTTGATTTACAGAAATCTTTCAAAACTGTACTGTTAAATAGTTGCAATTTTATGAAAAATATTATTCACAATTAGTGGGTTTTTAATGGCAGTATTCTCCATGTGATGTTATGTTTTACAATGTTTACAGATCCCCCTGAAACAGCTAGCACCAGCCAGTCAGCCAATGGTACCCAGCCGGTCAACACCACCCAGTCAGCCAATGGTACCCAGCCGGTCAGCACCACCCAGTCAGCCAATGGCACCCAGCCAGTCACCACCACCAAAGCAGCCAATAGCACCCAGTCAGCTAGCACCACTCAGACAACCACAACAGCCATTTCAAAACCCCAAACAAGCATGCCATCAAAACCCAATATTACAGTGACCACTGCCAGTACTCCTTCCACCTCTGCTTCAGTCTCTGTAACAGGTATGTGCCTCTGACTGCTCTTTATTTCCTATGGCACACTAACTCGGACTGTCTGTTATCTACATTGTGCTGCAGTGTTTGAAATCTCATTCAAACTAGCTTCACCTACGTTAGTCTTAGGAAACGGCACGTTTCCTAGCATGTTTTGGGGACTTATAAACAGCACAGCTTGCTGGATAATCCATTTTCAGGAAATAATTTTATCTGAGTTACATCAGTGTAATCCTGGAACTTCTCTGGATGATGTAAATAGGTATAACTGAGAATACACTGATCTCTCAACACTTAAATAAGAGGCAAGCTCATCAAAATGTTTTAAGCACCCAGAAGTCAAAAAACCCTTTGATAATGTGACGCTTTTTGGAAGTTTTATTTTGGGACTTTCACATATGTTTAAGGGTGTTTGACATTCAAAGGAAAATTCATATGGGTCAGTCAGGCAGCTAACCAGGACTTAACTGGATTTTAGACACCCAAATTGCAAACGGCAAGCCAGAACACTCCCACTCAGGCATCCACAAAATTCATTGGGCACTTACATTTTGAACTGCAAAGTTCCCAAGACATCTAAATTTGGTCTTCCATTCAAACTTGGAAGCAATCCAGGCTGAGTAGCTAGGGACTTAACTCCTGCTGACACCTCATTGTGATTCAGCTTTGAAGCATATTGTTACCTAAACTCCCCCTGTCACTGGAGAGGCCAGATCTGTTGTGTCCCCCCAGAGCATGCCTGATGCATACTAACAGGATTGGTTCAGCTGTAAGTATGGCAGTGGCTCAGCTTGGTACCACAGCCCACATAGTATCTTCAAGCATTTATCCAGAAAGTAACAGACCTGAGTTCTAAGCCATTTTCAACTGAGGGGAGGTTAACTGTACTCAGCTCCCCTACCTCCCAGGAAAATGTCCGAACCACCACCAGGCTGACAGGTCAGTAAAGAAACCCTCTACTCCTGTTGAACCTGAGTCAATGTTCAGGCAGGAATGACAGACTCCTAGGGCAGGAAGCAAAGTGAGCAAGAGGCACCTGACTTCTTAACCTAGCGGTCACGAATCAGCTGCGAGAGAGCAGAAACCAGATCTCCTTCCTTCCAGGTAACAACCGTGTACTGGCATGGTGAAACACACTAGCTGACCTAGTAAGCCCCCTATCTTCACCTTCTACCATTCTTTGTTGACACCAGCAAAGCCAGTAATACTTGTCAGGTTCAGTTAGTTGGTGACTTACAACCTCCAGATGCATGAGAAGGTGTGAAAGTATTGTGAAGGCTACACAACCTGACCAACTCACCATGGTTACGCAGTTAATATTCAGCATCGTAGCCAAAAGATACCCTACTAATCTGTTACAGGACTCCACAGTAGGCTAAAGAATTCAATTTCCATATTTCTGTCATTTCTTCCACTCTATTGCTTTTCTCTGACATAGTTATAATTCAGGAAAGTATTTCATCACAAACAACAACTTCCACATCCTGTGGAATTCAAATTCCAAATAGCCTCTTTTCTACGGTAAGTCTCCCATGTGATTGGTTTATGTAACGCTATGCCTCGGGGTAGATTGCTGGCAGCAAGGATTGAATTTGAAATTGCTGGATATAATCATGTGAGATTACAGGGGTGGAAAGTTCTAGTTCTGTTAACCAAGACTGTATTAGATATAACAAAGTGCCACGTTGCATGAGTTGTATTCCCCTCAAGGATCATAAAGCTCTTAAATGTCAGTGGTACCTTGAAGGTAGCTGCTGACTTAACCTACTTTCATTATCATCTTTACCAACACATTGACATTTATTTAAAAAAAAAAAACCTGGTACCTCAAGTTAGGCGAATCTGTGTCACATGGGAATTATGCGTTAACCTCAGCCAGGAATATTTGCTTATCCACATAAGCCTTCTCATGGCAACCATAGATGAATGTAGGCACAAACTGCATCTTTTGACTGGAATTCCTAAATTGGCACAACCAGTCAGGGCTGGAGTTGGTTGGCTGAATGTGGGGAATGATATCTGAGGCAGGAATATGTCTTCATTGGAGGGTTTCTGATTGCATGAATAACTGAATCTAAAGGTGGGGAAATCCTGTTGCCATGATGCAGAAAGTTAGAAAAGGCTGGTTCTGGGACGCAGCAGGGAGCAGCAAATACTAGAGGAGCAGTTAGTTGTAGGTCATTAAAAAAATAAGAGTGTCACATAATGCTGGAGTCTCTAAGCGAATTCAATTATGATAAATTTGAGATTACTGTTCGCAGATTCCAGCTCTCCTTCACTGGCCTGGGTAACACCACCTCCATGTGGCCAGCTCCTCTGAGCGATGTGGTGTGAGCTGTTGGAGTAAGAATGGCTGTTACTTACATTCAGATCACCCCTGCATAAGGGAGGAGGGCCCCTTATGCCCAGCCTCCTTATTCATTTTAGGTGCAGAAGTTAAACAGAACTTGGCATATGGTTTTAGTACTTGGTAGTGTTGACTGGCATTTGACCATGGGACTGCATGCACTTGTCACTTTAGACCTTCTCATTCACAACGAATGGCAGAAAAGAATCTAGATAGAACTATATTTGAGGTATATTACAGCAGAATTTACAAGTCTTAAAATCTGCCTTTTTGTTTTCTTCTTTATGTTACACACTTCAAAATCTGCAGTTGCACAAGCCAGAACTTCCAGATTTGACGTGGGCAGCTTTGTAGGTGGTATTGTCCTGACACTTGGAATGCTAGCCATTCTCTACATTGGATGCAAAACATACCACTCAAGAAGAGGCATTCGGTACAGAACCATGTAAGTGAGAGGGTGTTCTCTTGCAGATTTGGTTCTTTGACTTTGGTATATGATTCATAGATTCATAGATGTTAGGGTCGGAACGGACCTCAATAGATCATCGAGTCCGACCCCCTGCATAGGCAGGAAAGAGTGCTGGGTCTAGATGACCCCAGCTAGATGCATATCCAACCTCCTCTTGAAGACCCCCAGGGTAGGGGAGAGCACCACCTCCCTTGGGAGCCCGTTCCCGACCTTGGCCACTCTAACTGTGAAGAAGTTCTTCCTAATGTCCAGTCTAAACTGTGAAGAAGTTCTTCCTAAGGTCCAGTCTAAAAAGAAAAGAACTGCAATTGAAGGGGGAAATTGCAGTTCTTTTCTTTTTCAACTGCAATTGAAAAAGAAAAGAACTGCTATTTCTCCCTCAATAGACAGTTAAAAATAGTTTACATTCATTTGAGCTGCGTAGAGCTTTCCTCAGTTTCATTTCTCAAAAGATTCTCGTTTACTCCTAAATCTTATTTTCCACATGAGATTTTTCTGCTGATGTGTTACATAAAGGCCTTTCTTGCTGCTCTGCCTTTGGGCTAGTCTAAGCAGGTTCATTACAGTTTGTTGCCCTTATTTTTCTTCTGAAAGTTTTGACTGAATCTGTAAATTTTGTTCAGTGCCCTCTTTCTTCCACATTTCCATAACAGGATTTTCTTTTTTCTTGGGAGAATACTGGGTGTTGGGAGTAAACCCTCAAAGCTTTCAGGAGTTACCTCCAATAGACCCCCATGGAATTTCTTACAAATGTTATTGTTCTTTATGTTAAAACCCTTGTGCCATCAATGTGGCATCTTTTTTGTAGTTACAGACTTCAGTATTTACTAGGTGTCCTCATAGCTTATAATTCACTTTCCTGAAGGCTGTTGTTTGAAGAATTTGTCTACATGCATGCATGCACATCCAACCCTATCATTTGCTAGATTTGTAAATATTTTCTGCCTACTGCTACCTCGTACCCACTGGCTGCATGCATATTAAATGTTTCTTTATTAACTCTTAGCAGTGGATTCCTGTGGACTCCCTTTGTATATTAATCTTTTGTTATTTTTTCCCCTTATTCTTTATTGACTGTAGTAAAGTAGCTTCCATCTGCTGTGTTACTGCGTTGGATGTACAAGCCAGACTATTGGAATTAAATAATTATCTCTGTATTCTTCCCACTTTCTTGCATACAGAAAAGCTGGCTTACAAGTCAGTTTTGAATGGGGTTTAGTGTTCCATCTTCTTAGTAAAAGATTAATTCCTTTACCTTTTATCACAAAAAAGAATCCCAGTACCCATGCCAATATGGACATATCTTAAGTATAACAATAAGCGGCCACATTTGAAAATGATTGATTTATAAAGCCAAATTTTCCCCTCTGCAATAAAGGAATTCCATAAATTAATTTTTCAGCATTGAGCTTCCTTCCTGTCTTGCAGTTGGCGCCCGAAGGATCTCCAGATCTTGTGCACTGTGCACTGAATCAGAATGCAGTTCTTTCCGAAATCTGTGAAGTCAAATGACTTGTTTTTTTGTCTGTCTTAACTACTGCTCCCTTCACGTGGACTCCAGTTAGTGGAACTGCCCCATCATTTTCTATGTTACTCATCACCCTAATTAGAAGATATTTTGGCCGTATACCAGCCTCTTTTGGGACTTGCATCTCAAGCTAGGTTTCTCACAGTGCAATCACTAATTAGGATCATTTGCCTTTTTCATCTTGGGGCTTGTTTCTTAGTCATGCATCTGGTTACTGGAAGTTTTTGGCTTCGTTTTTGGTAGCACATCTCATTTCATAAGGAAACGGTTGCTACTTTGATTGCACCTTTTTGTTGCATTAAATGTTAGTGGTGCAAATTAAGAAAATCTTTGTTTTGCTTTCATTTTTGTTATTTAATCATCAAGCTGTATCATTCACAACTATCCCAACTGCAGTTTCTACCGAGGGCTCATGTTTGTTCTAGTCTTAGTTGAAAAATCAACATCCTTATTCAGGATTGCCTCTTGTTTCCATTGTTCATCTCAGCTCAAGATGTGTGTTTTGTTTGAGGTGCTGTCATTTGACTTGTTGGAACTTGCCTAGTGCTCAGCCACTTGGGTATCTCTCCCTATTTAAACTTACGTTTAAGTTTAAGTATGGGAACCATCCACTCTCACCTTCACACCCTCCTTATCAGCAGTGACCCACCAAATCTCCAGCTGTTCATCCAGCCTCCAACTAAACAAATGCGTAACAGACAACATAATTGACTCGTAGAATTTTCCCTTTCTTGGGATTTCTAAATGTTCAAAAATCATGTCTCAGTCTCCAAAAAAATCATGAGATTTGAATCTTAAAAATGATGATAAGTCCCACTTATAGCTTTAAAGATGCTGGCACTAAATGTAGGCAAAGAAAGACATAATAAAAATGTGCTCCTTGTCAACTTCTATAGTAATTTAGCCTACTGAGTGACATAAAAACCCTGGAGTGGTTGGTACAGTGACCAGAGGTTGAGCCATTTGATGTTTTCACTTCAGATGTGGGGCAGATATTGGAGCTTGGGACTTCCTGACATGGGCTTTTATTAGGAAATAACTTGCCCAGCATTAATTTGGATCTAATTATTCTGAAATGTGTGATACTGTGTTCTTATCTCTTGATACTACTACAGAAACTTTAATGATTGTATTTCTGTTACAGTGATGAACATGATGCCATCATTTAAAGGTGCTTCACAGCAGACAGCAGGAAAAAAAAAGTTCTCTTTTTGTAAAGATGATCACAATTCTCCAAAGCTTTTTATGGATCTGATCCTGCAAAGTGCCGAGAGCCTTTTGAACACCCTGAACACCCACTGATTTCGAAAAGCATTGAAAGAACTGAGTGAACACTTTGTGGGAATAGGCTTTCTACTATAGATGTAATTTTTTTTAAAATCCTATCAAGAATGTTCCTTAAAGCTGAGGTTAATTCTTTCCAATGTACGCTCATAGAAGCTCTGAGAAACAAAATCATTAACACAATGCATTGTGTGTCATCAAAATTATGACTCCATTTGATTACTACTTACCTCCATAAATGTGGGGTGTTCTACAGGTGGCACATCAGTCTGAATAAATTACAGAGTCCCTTTCAAGACAAAATACAAGTAGGTCCTGGCAGGTAAATACAGAAGCGAGTGACTCCTACTACATTATGTAAAAACAAATTTATTTTTAACTTAAAACTTGACGTGAACTTCTGTTAATGGTTTTTGGATCTCAGATTTTAGACTACAAGTGAGCTGTGGAGACTTTCCTGGTGATCTTCAAAATGAAATAAGCCTTGGGAATGGGATGGAAGTATTTTTTTCTTATAAATAAGAAATAAGGCTAGAAAAACTTTGTAATGTTTTTTTATTTAGAATTATAAGAACATAAAAATGTCATATACTTGGGTCAGACCATAGATCCATCGAGCCCAGTATCCTGTCTCACACAGCAGATGCTGATGGGGAGGATGCACAGGGCATGTCCCAAATCTTCTTCCCGCTTTCTCCTCTTCCACTGGAGCTTCCAGCATTCAGAGGTTTAGGCAGTTCTGATTCAGAGGCTGTACCCCTATCATCCATATTCAGTATCTACTGATGGATGTTTTCTCCAAGAGTTGCTGGTTGATAACCAATTACAAATTGATACATGGCAAGTCACAAAGGTATGTGAGAGATGAAATTGTAACAGAAAAAACAACTTCTCTTTTATTGTGTATATGAAGCTTTCCACTGAAAATTGTTCTCGCTTGAACATAAAATCCCTAGTTTTCATTTGGAAACTCCATGTTGTGTTTCACATGAGGTTTTAGGAATAGTTAAGAGTTACTGTTTAAATACCAGTGGTAAAATAAAAGAGGTAGGGTGGCACATAAATAGTACATACAGTCTTAAACCTATTTTCAAGGCGTATAACCTTTGTGCATCCACACTTCACGGAAGCCAGTAGAAACACTGCTGTTGATAACATCAAGGGCTTTTGGGGTCATCAGACCCTTCCTTCACTGTGAGTGCATCCACGCATCGCCCTACAGCGACATAGTGATCACACAGGTCTACATGTGATTACCAGCTACATTACCATAGTGGCGCACTCCCTGGTTATAGCATGCCACTACGGCAACATAGGAGCAAAAGCTAATCATGTGCCACCTGCACGGTGCAGTAACCGCCCGTACTTTGCCGTGCTTTAGTACTTCCAAAAGGAAATACTGAAGCATAGGGATGTGTAGACATGCCTAAGAATCGTACGTTAGGGGGTAAAGCTATTTTTTGTTGCCTTCCCACTTACACTGGTGGTGTCTTATTAATTCTAATTTACATTGTTTAAGCAACAGTAGTGTGAAGCTTAAGGAAATCCAGATCTGTTCTCCTTTAGACTATTTAAACAGCAATGCACATTTGTTCAGTTTTAGTCAGCTTTCCTTTGTGGCTGGCTCTCCACTGGAAAGTGTTTCTGTGGTGGGAATGTTACTTTAGTGGTTATTTCTAATGATAATCCACCACCTAATGTGCAGTCAAGCAAGATTCAGAGGAGAATATATGTGGAGCATGGCCAGAGACATGCAATGCAGCACTTCAGAGGTCTTGCATCAGTAAAAACTTTAGAAATGTTTAATAGAAATATTTTATTCTTGTTAAGTCTTGCACTTTCCTAAAAGTTGAAAATGGCCTTTTGGGGATTGTTTTTCTATTCCTAAAGAATCTAAATATTTTTTTTCCTCTGAAAGAGAGAGCCGGGCTTGGCAAACCCTCCCTTATCCAAGTAGTTCTTACTCCTACAATGTGGGACTGTTCCCAGCCTGACAATCACTTTCACATGTGACTTTATTTCTTTTTTAAGCTAGAGAAAAAATGTTTTAAAGTATTTTAAGTGATTCTTATTTACACTGTTTGGGGGAAATTCATGTATTTTTCTTTCTTTCTTTCTATTAGCTAAACTCTACCAGTTTGCAAAGCATTATTCTACCACATGTTGGTTCTTACTTTTCCTTTTATAGTACCAGAGTTTTACTGTCTTAAGTGCTACTCAGTAGGGTTACTGAGATCCACTGACCTGTGTACAGATAAATAATAAAATGAAAATTGTGTTTTAAGTATGAGACTCTCAATGCTGGTTTTTTATTTTAGTAAATGCTGTTACAGTTCCCCAGAATCATTTCTACAAAAAAAGTTGGCTCAAAATATTAATTTGTAATATAGAAGTGTTTCATAATCCATTTTATATGGAAGAAAACAAAAGGACTGCATGTTTTGGCATAACTCCTGCTGTTTGAAACATAGTGTGTGGGGGTTATATTATGGAAAACAATGTTAATGTCTGTTGTCAGATTTAGGAACAGATAATGCAACGGTAAGGAAAAAATTCTTTAAGATGCTTGTATCCTCTACAAAGTAAAAATTATGAGTCCTGCTCATAGCCGGTGTTCAGAGTTTGTATTCTAAAGAAAGTTAAATGGAAATTCATCTGTTAGACGGTTAAAATGATACTAGTAAGATAATGACAACACTTTATCCTATATTAAATGAAGAGTGTACATATAAGCCTCAACCCTGCAAGTCCATTCCATGCTTCAGGACACCAGCACCCCCATGGGTAGGAATTTCAGTTCAGCAGTGCTCCAAACAGAAGGACCTGTCCACATGGAAAAACCTGAAGAATCAAAGCTTTCAAATAATTGGCTAAGGAGGTCACTTGATGCTGGCAGTATTCAGTTGGTCTGTGGTTATCCAAGGGAGACACAGTTAGTTGGTGGCAAAGATGAGATTACACCCAAGTTTCCCATCCTATGCTTAGTCTTCTAGACCAGTGTTTCTCAACCTGTGGGTTGTGACCGAAAAATGGGTCGCAAGAATATATGAAAGTGTTGCAAACAAACTTTAAAAATGGACTCTCCTTTAAAGGAGAAAAAGGTGGGAAACTGTGGCTTTTCTCTTGCAGATTGTCAGAGTTCCCGCCTGCAAGGGGCTGCTTGGTGGCCCCCATGCCCCACACACACCCCCCCTTGTACCCCATACACCCACCCTCTGCCCCACACACTGGGTGGCTGGGGCATGGGGGGCAAGGGGCAGCAGGTTGGGTGTGAGGGGTACTGGGTTGGGACTGGCCGTCAATGTTTACAAATGGGTCTTGATACTAAAAAGGTTGAGAACCACTACTCTAGACTAGTGCTCCTCAAAACCTGATTGTGTTGCCTGCCCTGTCTGCTGTGCATTGCCCCTGTGCAATCCAGGAAGTTCTGCAGTCCATCTCCCAGCCTACCCTCCAACCATGCCCTATGGTCAGCATCCCTCCCCATTCATTCCTGGTGCCAGGGTGCCCTGCATTCAGGGGAAGCAGCCGAGCTGCAATGCACGGCCCTGCCTCTGCAGTACCACGTCACTGTTCTGAGGCAGTTCTGTGGCTTCCTGTGCTAGTTTGCTCATGCAGAGCAACCTGGAGCCAGAACCTATACCGTTTCTTCAAAAGTGAGCAAGGCCTTCTGCTCCCCTTTTAAGACCTAGCTGGTAATGGCATTATCACTACGTACCATGGGTATAATAGCCTTGTAGTACTTACATTAGGTATGGAAAACTTGTGTTCATTGCTTTCCTCAACATTTAGAGTTTTAACCCCATTTGTCCCAGGAAAGTGCCTTAATTACCAACCTACATGCTGTTCAATGGGCAGGGGGAAATTCCTCTGTGCAGACAGATGGAGCCCAAAGAAGAACATGATTCTGTATGCTAGAGGTCAGGGCACTTTCTTAAGGCTGGGTGAGTTTCAGTCAATGTGACTGGGATGACACTGTGGGATTCAATGTGGCATGATGTGACCTGTAAAATTACTAATTGAAACATGAGGAGAAATGCATGTTTTTTCCCCCACACTAATGGCTTTGAGCAGTTGATTGAATTCTACTCTCACATAGTTTTTAACAATTTACCTTTGAGCTGGGATTTCTTTTTTTCCTTGTTCACAGTACAAAACAAACCTGAAAAAGTGGATGTTCTAATAAAAAGAAGTTTTAAAAATCAACAGCTTAAAACAGACAGGGAACAGGGTCCATGAGTTTTAATTCAGGTCCCTTAAACTCTGCACATTTGACTTTCTTGTTGTATCCACTGAGAAAAATCACAGCTTTAAAATTCTGGTCTCCCCCGTATAAATACTATGAGCAACTTCCATGCCTACTGGCAGGCAAGACATTCATTGAGTTACATTACACAGATCTTTACTCTAATTAAAAATCTTTTACGTTCTTTTAGAGAGTATTTGCAATTTGAGTTCCCAAATGCTATCACCATTCTGAAGCTTATCCTGAACCCAGGTGTTAGGAGTTTTCTTCTAACTGCAACTGCTCATACAGATCATGTATTTAATAACAGTGTGCTTTAATGGAATTCCTACTCCTAAAAAGAGCACAAGGATAAATCAAGCTAAAGGAAAATTACTAACCTGTAACTTTGCTTCCCTGGATGTGATACACCAGAATTCCCATGTCTGGGTTTTAGTTTCCTAGGGCATGATTTGAAGAATACCACTAACTATTACAATGATGTGTCCTAAACCCGCACCAAAAAATGAATTTAAGCCTGGTCTCCAAACATCAATTGCATTCCAGCTGATCAGTTTAACCCCTCCTTCCCATTGGCTTATTGTAAAGAATCGACGCTCCTAAGGAAGCAAGCCACTCAACAAAAAGAACATTTATACACATACTTTTTGTCCTGCAAGGTGCTGGAAAGCCATTGCTTTGGAGCAGACTCGAATCGAGTCTGCTCCACACATGAACTGAGGCAAACTGCATTGCACTGCGCCGCATGCAGTTGTATAAGTGGCAAAATGTGCGTTAGTGCACAGACAATGGCAGTGGTGCACTTTTGAACTACAGCATCTCCAATGTGTTTTAATTCAAAAGCACGCTGCCGCCTTTTTCTCAGCACTGACGCACATTTTGCCACTTATACAACTGCAAGCATTGCAGCACCGGGAGCTTTTCAAAGTGCCCGGTGCTGTGGCACTTGCATGTGTAAAAATGCCCTCAGGCACAACATTTGGCATTTCCTTAATAAATGTGCTCCCCTCCACTATTTCTGGAGGGATGGCAGAAAGGTGAGAAGCCCATAAGAATTATTTCAGTGAAACATTGACATAGATATCAAAAATATTCCTTTCTGAAAAACAGACCACTGTCCAGGCTGGATTCTGAGTCTGGAGACAAAGAAACTTTAGGGTTGACTCATAATGCAACACTAGCCAAGTTCCCTTGAGTTTACAAGTTTTAGCTGGTCCACCTTTGATATTTTGATAGGAAGGTATGTACACCCCAGAATCAGTATGTTGTAATAGCTACTGATAGAAACCAAGAGGTGGAACAACACCTGATTCTATCCAACCCCTCTTTCCATCTCACAATAAGAACACTAGCAGGGAGGATCTAGTGCTGGGGTGGACAGTTGTTTTGGCTAGATGACCACTTAACAAGTTTTGGTGTGCAGTCCAGGGCCACACACACACACATTCTTTAAGAAGATATTTTAACAAACTATAGATTAAAAAAAATAATACTAAAAAAACCAAACATTACTATATTTTAATTTTATTTCACAAAATAATTTTTATCCTGATTTATGTTTTTTTTGAGTTGCATATATAGAGACAATTGCATAATAGCTCAAAATAAAGTCTTATTCTTATATATTGTGGGGGGTGGGGCAGGAAGAGGAGGAAGAGCCATTGGATTGGGAGGGGTGGGGAAGTAAAGCAGCACTTGGGCAACTGCAGCCACACTGGGAGCAGCCCCACCAGGAAGCTATGCATTGCTGGCTGGGGCTGGGGCCAGTGGGGGTGGGCAGGAGTGGGTGGGGCTCAGCCCCATGCAAAGCACCGCAGGGGCAGCTGTGAGCTGGATCTAATCAGTTGGGAGGGCACCCTCCCGTGGGCCAGATCCAATCTGTTGGCAGGGCAGATCCAGCCAATGGCCTGTATTTTGCCTGCCCCTGATCTCATGCCTGTAGGTGACTATGGTCTTGGTGCCATGAAGGGGCAATTCTCTAAACATTGGTCTAAATGTATGAGGGGCGAGAATTGTTTGGTATCTTTTTTGGACCAAACAGATAGTAGAGAGGATACTAACTGACCATTCCACTAGTACCTTAAAAGAGTGGTTGTTCAAAGTCAAGCTAACAGAGTCCTTTGGAGCTTCACTTGCATCTTGGTTTCGGCAGGTGAGATGGGACAGTGACCAAGACACCTTTGTCTCAGGCTGACCAAGGACCCTGACCATAATGATACTGATTATCACAGTACTGAGCCCATGGCCTCTTGATTAAGTCCTTGCAGAGGAAGTGAGAATGAAGCAAAAGGGAAGATGCTATGGTCAGCACAACTCCAGGAAACCACCAAATAACTGCAACCTTGTGACGCTGTAGTATAAATACATTACAGAATGGTGGCAGCTTAAGGATCTGTTTCATAGCTGCACAGAATAGCACAAAACACTGACTTCTATGGCAACCTGAACCAGGCCTTAAAAGTTGTTGGAGCTTTCCTGAAGTCAAGAGAGACAATCCTGATCTACAACAGCTGAGAGTCTGGCCCTCCAGCTCATCTGATGGCAAGTCAGGTTATCAGCTTTGGGTGTCACTGCTTAAATCAGGGTTGTTCAACTTCTCAGCAGCCAGGGGCTTCATAGCATGCAGGCTGCACTAGTGGGAGCCACAGGTCTCGGGGGCTGTATTAGTGCAGGCTACAAGCCCCCTTGGCTGCACCCCCACCCCCGTTACATGTGCACAGGCAGCCCCTACATTAGCTCCCTTGCTGAACTGTGCTGTGGGCTACCCTGGGCTGTGCCACTCCATCCCCTGGGCGGGAGCAGGAAACAAAGGCTAAGGTGGGGATGGGAATCCTGCAGACACTGGCTGCTGCAGCAGCTGGAGCAGTAGAGGAAATGGTGGCCATGTAGGAGCCTGAGCACATTAACCTATTGGCCCATGGACCACCAGTTGGCTAGCCAGAGTTTAAATCATTAAAGGGGACAAAAACTCTTCTGCCAGCACAAGAATGAGGTGGGCGTGGAAGGGGGATATTTTAAGAAGTCCTGGTGTTTCTTGAT